CTCACCGGCGTCCCTGGCCGGGATCCGCCGTACAGCTCCCGGTACTGGCCGACGTAATCCCAGTATCGGCCGACATGGTGTGCTACCTGGGTTGGCGGTTGCGTTGTTTGCGTGCTGAATCGGAAGGTTTACGGGGCCGGCGGTACGTGCAAGATGACACATATCCTTATTAAGTGGGTAGGCGAAGATAAGTGGGATGTTTATCCCGTTAAAGCGTTAGACAACCCGGCCATCGGTGTGCAACTAATGTCTGAGGAGGGAGCTATAAAAAAATTACGCAGGCAGGTCGTTGATGTAAAATGGAAGGTGGATGAAGACCCGTCACCGGCCACGCTCTTAGATTTCGGTAAGTGTTGCTAAACTTTTTGACCGTTTGTTAGTATGGTTTAGTCATTTTCAGTGAAACAGCGTCGAAGAATGTGCGCAATGTCTTCTGTGTATGTTTATTTTTAGATAAAGGACGGCAGGCCGTTGAGTAGATGTAATTTTTCAAACAATGCACCTAGGCTCGAAACGTAGGTTTCCTACATTTTTAGCATTTGGTTGGTTGCCGACTTTTCTTTATTGTTTCCGAACCAGATAGGATTCTCTGAAATGTTTACTTTCATATTTATTTCTCGCAGGAAGTGAGGGAGCGATGGAAGGCAAGCGCACGCAAATGGAGAAGGGTGCGCCGGACGCCGGAGCCTCGACGGCAAAGGTTGGCATGCCGCTCTTATATAGGGTGATTGAAATAGTGAGGCTTGCTGTTAAACGGACCGCGAAAATTGACTACACGCAGAGCTAATACTTTTGTCAGAAGTGTATTCTTCATTATCTATACTTGGCGTCAGTCCCTCGTTACTTCGTTGTCAAGGCTACTTTCGCCAGCGTGTGACTTTTATGTTCTAGACCAGTGGTTCTCAAGCATGGATGTGTTGGGAACCCCTTGGGTACCCGCCACAGTTATGGGGGACCCCATGCCAGTGGGAGAAGGGGAAAGGGGGGGGGGTTGCTATAATAGTACTAAAGACTACTAAGTGCAGTGTGTACTATAAAGACTACTAAGTGCAGTGTGAAAAAGGCATCCTTCACTGTTATATAGAGAGGAGAAGAGAGAAGCATCAAACAAATGGATGGATCGATGGTAATGACTGTACCCCGTATAACGGGCGTCAACTTGTGCCACCTAGCCAGGGTCAGCAAAAAACAGCTTTTCTTTTCATGCGAGGGTGTGCCAGGGGGTCTTGAGGCTTGCCGCCAGGGACTCGCGGACCCCAGTGGGTCTGCGAAACTCCATTTGAGAACCACTGTTCTAAATAAAAGTCGTTCATGACATGCCATTGATTGCCTTTGTTTTAAAGAACTTCGTCTATGCATTTCAGTGTAGCTGTGAGGCTAAAATAAAGGTTCTCGAAGAAGAGAATGAGTTGCTCAGGGAGCGCCTCAGAGTCGCAGAAACTAACTGTGGTAAGTTCAACATTTTGTCGTTAACAAATCTGCTATATATTTCAGCGTTCCGTGATATGACGCCTTTTTATAAATTTTTCACTGTTTACCAGCATGCCACCATTGTTGAATGAAGCAACCCCAGGCTAGTGTGGGTTGGCAACAGGATAAGTATTCCATACAAGTGCAACCCACTAGCATTATGCTCCTGCTTGATGTCCCCTGCTGTTGAGAAAATGGTTCTTTATAAACGCTGCAGTGCATCCTTTGCTTTGCGACATTGGGATTTCAGGCAGGAGACTAGTGGGCGAAAGTCGCTCCTGGTCGTGCGAGATGAGATGGTCGCGTTTGAAGAGAGGTATTTTTGGGAAAATGCACAAGATGTGGGCCAGGCCGGGCTTTGCATTTACCTCAACAAGATGTAAATCTGCCTTCGTGAATACCAAACACGAAACGGGCTTGAATAGGCCCCTAAAATTTAGCGTCGATGTCAGAGCAGATTGACTTGTAAATGGCCAGGCTTTTAAATATCGGCTTGTGCAGACCTTTACCGTAGGACTATTCTTGACAGCTGCACTTGTCAAAGGTACCACGTGTAGCAATTGAACTGTAGGAGGCCTTGACTTTTTTTACTCAAGCCAGCAGAGAAGCAAACTCCAGCAAAGCAGCTTAGTGGTGGCAAGTCACTCGAGTCTACTTCATGCAGCGTGCCACTTTAGTTGTGGTCACATCAACCTTTTTGCCTTGTCCTACAGAAACCACTGAGAAGACAGCTGATGCTGTTACACTTTTGCCCCATAACCTTCTCTTTTGTTGAGATAAATTTCAGCACATACTGTATGCAGTAAAAGCGATTGTTACCACCATGGCTATGTGGAAAGGTGAATGTGTTTCCCAACCTATTGGATGTGATCATATCCGTACTACACATCGCATACTGTCAGTTCACGGGCAAGTAAGAGGGCCACTTGCACAGGGACTAGAGAAGTTTGAAAAGGCCTTGTGTAGGGCCCCATTTCCAATGTCTGCTATCAAAGGCTGTATATTCTTATACCAATGCAATGATTATTGTGCCAACTTGTCGTGACTGAATTTCAGACTCTGCGAAGATGGCCAAGAAGTTGGAAAGAAGCCTGCGCCACCTAAACCGCCTGTGGGCAAGGAACGAGGAGGTGTTGGAAAGCCCTAAGGTATTGCTAGGAGTCAGCACAGCAACTCCCTAGTTATGTCTGAATTATTGCACCTCTCGTAAAAGCATGTAGTGCATGCCAATGTGTGGCACGTTTTGTACACAGACACAATAATGTAGTTTAATCACTGTTGGTCGCAAAAAAAAAAATATGCTCAAATTTTGTGCATATTTTCAAATACAGCGGTAATTAGGCTTGTCTATAGCATGTGAGCGTGCGGCTTTCCCCGGTGAGCACTAGGCTAGTGGACAGACACAACTATGTTTGGCTTGTGGACATTCAAGATTTCCCGCATACTTATGCGGAGCGCAAGTTTGTCTGCTTCTTTCGCAGGGATTGTGGTGCCGTCAGAACGCCGAGCTCTGATTGAAGGATAGTGGGTAGGCTTGCTTTAAGTTGTATCGCAGAAAACACGTAGACATCCATACTGTTTAAATACAAACCTATTTGATCATCATTTCAAGTTTGGAGCTAGCTAGCTGACCGAGCGCCGAGATCAGTTGGAGTGAAAATGACGGTTGGTCAGAGCGCCAGCCTCGGGCTGCGCATGTTCATGCCTCAGTGATCTTTCTCACGTGCAAAGGTGCACTGACGCTCCAAGATGTCCAGCTGGATTCACCTTCAGTGAAAATGGTTTGTGACATGTCTGAGGTGTCAACGAACCAAGATTCATTGTCTACCTCTCCTCCAATTTCATAATTAATATTTCCGATGTAAGATTTTCTCGTGTACGCATTTCCCTCGTCGGTCCCCTCCCGCCTTCAAGAGGATGCCGCTACATGTTGACCTATGTGGGCCAAAGCGTGCATATGGTTGGCAAGCAGCCTCAAGCACTCAGCAATTCCAGATACACTTATGCGGACTGTTACATGCTATCCCACGTGACTAGAGCAGTTTCCACTGATGCCATCAGCCTAGTGCTTGCCAGAGAAAGCCGTATGCTCGTGCATTATACACAAACTCATCTCTGTTACGTCACGGCGCAGTGGTGGCGCGTCGGTCGCACTTCAGGTCTGAAGCTGTGGGCAGAAGTCCCCATGCCAGACGTGTATTCCTGCGTTGTTTTGAAAGGAGCCAGACAAAAATCTGTCTTCTCGTCAAAACGCCGCGACTGGGGCCGTACTAAAAGTATCGAGAACGGTTTGAAGGTCAGTTTTTACGTGCTCGGTTCGTCCGAGAATTTGGATATGTGCCGTGAAAAGGGAAAAGCCGACGCCGTCGAACAACGATTGCTTGGGCGGGAAGCACCTTGGGTTGAATTCACGGATACTTGTGGTCATCAGATTTATTTCTTTTGTTCCAGCATGAACTCCAGAAAACCGTCAAGTTGTGCAGACCACCTGCGGACTACGTTCAGTGCGCCTTCAAGTTCAAACGGCCGCCTGATTGTTTGAACTGTCGTCTGCTCTTTCAAACGTTTCTGCTTGTCGTCTGCTCTCTTAGACGATGCCGGCCCGTATACCAAATGTTGGCCCGGTACTTGCGATCGGAAGTAAGTGCGGGCCTCAAAAGACTTAAATTATAAGGTTGGTAAGCAGGCTCGATGTAAACAGTAGATACAAAAAGATGTTGATCATTGTTACCAGCGACCATCACCGACTTGTTACCCCTAATTCACTTGGCACGATTCTGCTTGCGATTTTCAGTATTGACGTCGACTATCTCGGCTACGGTACACACTTTTGCAGCCCGAGTGGCATTGCGACTGAAAATAGCGAGCGACATCGCATCATGCGAATCAGGCTTTAGCGTACTTATTGCGGCGTCCACGCGGAATGAAGCGCTAGATGTCACATTATTCACGCAAAGTTTTGCGGTGTAACAAGCCTCGGTAATTTCGCTGACGCCACTCAAGCAGTCAGACATTGCCAGGAAGACGTATAATCAACAATTAGAACGCGAAAAAGAGCAGGGGGACTCGCACCGACGCCGACAACATCGCATTTCCATGGTTTTTTTATGGTGCAACGTCGAGCTTCTTGCCCACACCCCCCATCTCGCATGCGCGGTGCCAGTGGCGTCCGCTAGGGGCGCTCCAGTTTGTTTGTAACCATGAGTTGGTGTATAGAAAAGCGTGATTTGCACTGTACCCTGTGCGTGTATGAGGCTGCATATGAGGCTTCATGAACATTGACGGGAAAGGCTCTGGCTTCCTTATTTAGTGGGGAGCTTTTGAACTGACTTTAAACTAAAAGTTTCGAAGGATCGTAAGGGATTGGAGCCACATTCTTGTTTCCGATTGACATTTGAGTCTTCGCAGTTTTTAATTCTTGAAACTGTTTCTGGTTTAGGTCGACATCGGGTACGGCGTTCTCGTGGAGCAGACGGCCTTAGCGGGCCTCAAGTCGGCAGGCGTTTCGGCATCAAAATACGTCAGGGGTCTCCTGAAGGTGGTGTTTTCGGAGGAGGAGCTGAAAGGCAAGAGCCTCCGGGGAAGGAAGTGCAATGCGCAGAAGGAGAGTGAAGTGAAGCCGGCCCTCGATCCAGTAAAACTCCAAGCTGTCCTCGGTATGTAATCCTTCCTTATCCTTGTTGTACCTAAGTTTTTGCAAATGTCTCATTTTATTCTTGGGCGCTGCAATTTATATGTCATGGTCATGACCTTCAATCCGAATGCATTTTCTACCTTTGCATAGCAAAATAGTCAGTTTTAACTATTTTGGGAAGACACTACCTTGGAAGTTCAACTTTCGAGCCCTCGCTTAAAATAAATGAAAATAACAATGTTGACTGCTAATTATGATAAAGGATGCAGAAGAAAGTTCCAGCTCTGTGCACCGATTGTGAGGGAAATTACAATTCCTATTGGGAATACACCAACATTGTTTGGTTAATTTATAGTTAAGAAACTAATGAAATACTCAGCAGTTTTCTTTACTAGATGCAAGGCAGAATGCCTAAACAGTGCGGCTATTAAAGAATCTTGTCAAAAAAGGCTTATTTTTGGAAAAAGATTGTTTTTCAAAGTGGAGCAACTTTTTGGCCATCTGTGTTCTTAAAAAAATTATAAATTATTTTGTAAAAACATTTGTAAAAAGCTGCATTCCTCATTAAATTTCACTCAGGATAAAGTAAGTCTGCATCTTTGCTTTAGTCTCATGATCAAACGAGAAATTGCCAAATGAAAAAACTTTGAAAATATTCTTTATATGTTGGTGAGCCTGATTATAACATTAGTCAAATGTCTTGCAAAAACATATTTTGTTAGGCCATGTCTCCTTGGACGAGCTGAGCTCGTTGGATGCTTTCTAGTTAAAGATGCCATGGACGTCCAGTGGTTTTTTCTGTAGCCCTCAATTCCACAGACGAGCTAGGCTTGTCTGGGTAGTTTGCGGCACTGATCATAGATGGCGAGTATTTTACAGCAGTTCAGCGATTTCTTCGTCGGTCAAGGGACGCGCCGGCGTTTGCTGAACGCCATTTTTCAAACAAACAGTCAAAGGTGTCATACACATACATTTTTGTGCTGCCATGTATGCATCGTTTTTAAAACTGAAAATGTTTCCGATACATGAGTATAGATGGTGCATCCTACCCACACTCTAAATTGAGCGGGCATTTAAAGATGTGGTTCCCAAGAGCAAAGAAAGTGCAGCGTGTCTATAGACGCGCCCCCCAATCTGCAGTCAAAATTGACGCACGTCTAAAGACAAAGACAATTGAGCGGAGTTGCCCTTTAAATCACTCAAAAAGGGTTATGACACGCCAAAAATAAAATATGAGATAACTATACTGCTAGGACCCATTGTATGTTCCTATAATCCTGCTAAATTTGTTTTGAAAAAGGTGCGATAATTGCGTGGATAAATCGATTTATATGCGGGCCCCTCGGAGGGGCAGATCCGGGCAGACCTGGAGGCTGATGACGTAGCCAGCCTCCAGCGCGGTGTCTCCTTGCACGCACTCACAGACTCGGCTCTCTTGGCATATCGACTCTCAGCTTCTTCGTTTACCTTCCACGTTTCCAGCTTCCGATCTGTGACGATTACGTCTACGGCATCGCTCGCCTTGTCGAAGTGTTCGACATTGATCGCAGCAGCGATGAGAGTGATTGCTATCAAGACATGTTGGAAGCTGTTCATTTTGACTGCGACCCGCTGGCGACCAGCTCCAGCGACAACGAGTTCGCCGTGGTCACTGTCGTCCGGGAATATCTCGCAGGCGCATGCAGGGTGGAAGGTCAACCGGCCGGGCGGCCAGAGCGAGAATAGCTTTCAGTTTACCGAGTTGTTTCAGCGGTTTTGTTCGTTCTGCGACGAGAAGAGCTTAGGCGATCATGGGGGCACCTAGAATTAGAGTGTGTCCATGGCCACGTGGTTTATGGACACCATGGTGTGACTAACTTGAGCAGCGTTGCCTGGTCGCCAGATGAAAATTATAAAAATTCGTAAATTGAATATTGCAATTATCAGAGCTCTAAAAATTGCATAACTTGGTGTATATACTAAGTAGCCTATGAGCATTCCATTTAAAGAATAATCTATCTATTTAATTTTTGTGTCATAACCCCTTTAAGTGCGAGACACATGCGCGAAAAATCCATCCAATCCAACGTCCGATCCGGCAGTACGACTGCCTGGTCCGAAAACTTTGGTCGCTTCAAACGTCAGATCGGCGAACCGGCGCGCGTCCAACGTGCCAGATAGTTTCGCACGGCAGACGGACTGTCGGAAGCGTCCAGCCAATCGCAGCACAGCTAGCGCGAACGTCATGATGACGTACTGGGTCAGGCGGAAAAACGGGACGGGCGACGGGAAGCCGGACACGTGGATCCCGCTAACCCATTCGAAAAAGATGGCCCCGGCAAATAATGCATGCTCTACCGAGAACGACCTCCTAACTTCGCGCGTGCGAGCTAAACCGTCATTCTGGGACCAGCAGATCTATGAACGCGGACCTCCGCTGGAGCGCTTGGATCTCCTGGGCGGAGCCGAACGGATCATTGTGTCGCATGCAAGGTCGGAAGCGTGTGTCTCATACTGCCGCGCGCGGCAATTCGGAGCGGCGTTCGGACTGTCGGATGGAACGATTCTGCCGTTCATCTGTCTCGCGCTTTGTTCAGAAAATGGTCTGTTTTCTGCTCCATAATATGTTCCTTTCTGCAACCCTAGCTGCTAGAAAAAGCGAGTTCTTTTTCTACCTTTCCACCACGTTCGTTTTCATCCATGTTGCGCTACGGTCAAATGCTCAAATGCGTAGGTAACCACGTTCCATACCACACATTCTCTTTCTGACATGGATGAAAAGGAACGAAAGGCTCGGCATGCTGCGGCTCAGCGTCTACGCAGACAAGCACCACCAGAGCTTCGCCCCAATCAACATCATTCACCACGTGGAGATGCGTTTTTTTTCCCCTACACGAGCACGTGAGCTCACGAGCAGGAGCACGTGCACCCGACGGCGGACGGACATACGGACATGGCTAGCCCCTAAGGAGCTTTGCCCCTAAAAGACAACCTTTATTTTCGGGCTTGGCTGATAAGGCAGGGCTTTGCGGACCCCTAGAATGCCTTTGCGAACCCTCATTTGAGAACCACTGCTCTAATTTATCAAAGGAAAACTTCTATAGATTTGTTAGATACCTTCGCTATATGGCTCTGAGGTAAAGCATCGTCCTATGGGTCCACAGTTTGTTGGGTTCGCATTCCAGCCAATGGGCCCACAATGACAGGCTTACGGGGCTTACGAGCACTGTGTAACTAAGACTTCGGCTGCTCATCGAATATTCCTAGGGGTTTGAGATTAATCCTTTGTCCTTCGGTGGGACGTGCGTTGGTTTCACATGGAAACATCCAAAATTTAATATTTTTTATATAGCATAACCTAAAACAAACTTCAGAATTTCACAGCTTTCTAAAACATGGACCTCTAAGGTCTCATTTGCCTTGTGTCTTAATCATTAGTTTCATTTTTTTTCTCATTTCAGACTACACCTGCAAGGAGTACAAGGGGGTCGCCCTCTTGACTCTCACCACGAGCCTTTCAACACTGTTGTGCAGGGACATGAAATAGGTAAAATGCTGCTACTGTCTTTCATTATCTCCTTGCTCGATTCGAGTCCGTAAAATCTTTTGGATTTGCTTATTTTTGGTTTGCATGATAATTCCCTCTCCCCAAGTCACATCTTGAAAAGAAAAAAATGAGTAAGGCAATAAATTACAGCCTCAATTTGCCAGCCCAAAACTCCAAAGCAATATATTGCATTGATTGAAAATGCTGAAATGACAACACTGCAGAACAATGCGGTCTCAATAAAATAAGGTATCATTTAAAGTGACCCTGCCCACATTTACCTTGTCGGTAATTTAGAGGCTTTCATACAGCTTTTCATGGGTGCCGCCACCTTGACGTTATCTGACCCTGCTTCATTAGCCAGCATTCAGTTTGTTGCTAGTGCTCAGCTGCATTCTCTGCTGAACCAGAAACCACCAAAGCTTTATTTTAAAGCTTTTTTTTATTTTGTGCCTAAATTTTGCAATTTCCTGAGGGTATTTGAGTATATTGGGGTATCGGTTAATCGGCTAATATCTATACTGCGTATCCCAAAGAAAATGTTCAACCAAGACTAAAATATGCCGCAAAAACAAGCTACTCAATTCATCCAAGTAGGCTTTCCTCGGAGACATCTTTTTTGTGCATCAAAAGGTCAAATCTAAACTCGAAGTACGTTAAAAATTAAAAAGCTTACTTTTCGAAGGACGGCCTTGTGCTTCAATTTCGTCATCTTTTTATGTTTTGTGCGTGGAAAATTTTTAAAGTGGAAATGAGAAAACAAAATGCATATTTGTGGAGGGTTTCTTTTTGATGCGTAGAGTTGCTAATTTTTGCAGGCCATTAAATTCAGCGTTGAATTTTTTGAGGAGACTCCCAATGTTTACGTCTTTGTTAGAAATGAAATTCACATAACGCAGTGAAAGTTTTGCAAATATTAATTTCGTGCAGTAAGGTTATTGCAGCCGTGTTCCTTCTGCATGTGTGTGCACTTCATACATTGTTTTCATAAATTAATTATGAGGTAGTTGTTCAATGCTGTGTGCTTCAAAATGAATTGGTGCCGACAGCCAATGTGTTGGATTGAGTCTCATGCGAACGCATAGTTGTCAATTTACATGCGTGGCTCATATAAAAGGGCCACTAATCAAGTCTAAAATGCTCTGCTCAGGGTTATTCAGATATGAAAACATGTATTCTAAGCGACTGTGTTCCGACTGCTGCATCTACTGTCGTTTCTGGTCATGTTCTGTGCAGGAGAGAGGTGACATAGTAGCCCCTGAATTACATAACTTTGGTCATCCTTGTATCATGGGCACAAAAAACATGCCATATGTTTACGTTTGCAGAACATTCAATATTCAACTTTGACGGGAACAAATTTACATTCACTGAACCACTGGATGTGGGTTACGCATATCATAGCGGGCGTCCATCACGTACGAACAGCCTCAAGCGCAGTAATCAAGGTCTTGAGCTGGTTAACTGCAGGCAAAAAATGACAGACACAAGCAAAATCGAAGATTGGCAATGGCGGCTCCACGAGCGCGCCGACTGGTGGTGCTATGAATGACTGACACGTTGAATGCATCTATGGATGATGAAGTGCATTACCTACTATATGTGTGTTTCATTTCTTTTCATTATAGGCTACAGACACAAGCATGCGGCGGGACCAGCAAAGTGCAATTTAAGTATATAAATAAACTTATTCTTCACTCTTTGATGCAGCATTTATTCATATGCTGTGGCTAATTTGCTTTAATAACCCACTATTGATGCACTTAGAATGCAGTTGCAAAAATTCTATTGAAACACATTGCAAAAATTTTATTGAAACTCAATAGCAAAACTTCTAGTGAAGCTCAATTGCAAAAATTCTATTGAAGCACTATATTGCCAAGAAATTTATTGAAAATGGATTGCGAAAATTCAATTGAAACGCTACTGTCAAAAATTCTATTGAAACTCAATTGTGAAAATTATACTAAAACTCAATTGCAAACATTCTATTGAAACTCAATTGCAAACAATCTATTGACACTCAATTGCAAACATTCTATTGAATCTCAATTGCAAACATTCTATTGAAACTCAATCGCAGATAATCTATTGACACTCAATTGCAAACATTCTATTGAAACTCAATTGCAAACATTCTATTGAAACACAATTGCAAAGATTCTATTGAAACTCAATTGCGAAGATTCTATTGAAACACTATTGCAAAGATTCTATTGAAACACTACTGCCAAAAATTCAATTAAGAATCGGTGGCCAATACCCTGGGACGGTTCAATACAAACACGTTAGAAAAAGTCAACTGAGTTTCAATTGAGACTCTATGCGGTATATTGACTGCACCCTATTGACTTTCAATTGAAACTCAATTAATTTTTTTGTAAGGGTACGCAAGGAGTTTAGTTGCTTTATTAGCCTGGAACAATGAACGTTTAAGAAATCCTAGAGTTTTAGACGCTTTGCTGATGATATGTCAGTATGAAGGTTCCATGATAGGTTAGCTGAAAGGTGGACGCCGAGATGTTTGATTGATGGGACATTTTCAATCTGGTTTTCTCCAATTGCGTACGCGTGGCGATCAACATTTAATTTGGTGGTGAAAGTTACACACTTTGTTTTTGTAATGTTGATTTGCATGAACCAGGTGATGCACCATTGGCTGATTATTTCAAGGTCGCGCTGGAGTACGCACACATCTAAAGGAGTGGATATGGGGCGATAAATGACGCAATCATCCGCGAAAAGGCGTATGGTGGACTCAATGTTAGCGGGAAGGTCATTTATATAGAGAAGGAACAGTACCGGACCAAGAACCGAACCTTGTGGGACGCCAGACTTTACGGGTGTGGGAGAGGAGGCATGTTTATTAATCACAACAGATTGAGACCGATTTGATAAAAAGCTCGCGATCCATTCAATAACTAATTCGTTTATATTAATAGTACCCAATTTATATATCAATCTGTTGTGGGGGACCCGGTCAAATGCTTTCGCGAAATCAATAAACACAGCATCAACGGGACGTGAGGAATGAGCAGAAACATGAAGGTCATGAATGAATTCGACCAGCTGTGTTTCACAAGAATGCTCGCTTTGAAAGCCATTCTGGTTCGGAATGATAAGGTTGTTACTGGATAGATGACTCATAATCTGGGATGAAAGTATATGTTCCATGAGTTTGCATGCCACGCAGGTTAGCGAAATAGGCCTGTAGTTGTTGAAAGATTTTTTATCACCAGACTTGAAAATGGGGATGACGTGGGCAAGTTTCCAGTCGTCAGGTATTTCGCCAGAGGAGAGGGATTGTTGAAACAGCCTACCCAGCAGAACCCCAGATACGTGTTTGGTTAATTTCAAGAGTTTAATTGATATTCCAGCAGGGCCCGGGCTGGAGTTAGCGTTCAAACGATCAATGGCACACTCGACCCCGTGGCTGGTGATAACAATGTCCTGCATAATACATTCAGCATGAGATGGCAAAGCGACTGGCTGAGAGAAGTCATCCTCCTCAGTGAAAACACTGCTAAAAAGGTGTTAAACCCAGCGGCCAATTGGCGTGGGCCCAAAAAAGATCCATCATCACGAGAAACGCTTGGCAATACTGGAGAAGGTTTAGGATTAATTACTTTCCAAAATTTCTTTGCATCAGTTCGAAGCATGTTCGAGAAATCCTCGTCAAAAAATATTTGTTTAACTTTTTTTATTTCTTTTTTACATATGATTGAGTAAGTATGATAAACGGTCCAGGCATGTTCCGAGTCTAAGTGAAGGGCACGCCTGTACAGACGTTTCTTTTTTTGAATAGATATTTTAATAGTAGTTGTAAACCAGGGCTTGTGCAAGCTTGGAGCGATTTTTAAAGTGGTTCCAACTTTAAAAATCAAATATGGATTGAATCTCCAATAGCTTTTCCTGAAAAAGGACCCAATTTTCATTCACAGACCGTTCATCAAATTCACTAAGAAATGTATCGGAAAATTCGTGTAGCATAGAATCTAAAGTTTCCGAATCAACTCTCTTGTAGTCAAACATTTCTTTCCTCATTGAGTCCCGCTTATTAACAACCAGAGGGAAGTCACAATGTATAACATGATGATCGCTAATTTGGTCGATTACTTGTACACTAGCGTGTTCTGGGTGAGTTGTAAAGACTAAGTCTAAAACAGCATCTCCACGAGTAGAAGCGGTAATTATTTGCTTCATATTAAAGTAAATGGCCATATCAATTAACTTACGGCACTCACTTCTCCTTGCACATTCATCAGGCACAACACAGGCTCCCCAGTCAATGCCAGGATAGTTGAAATCTCCAGCCAATATTGCCGCGCGCAGGGTCACAGACTTGTAGAAAGTTCTCGTTTATTCTTGCTGCGGACATAACTATCGTTTATCCCTGCTTTTGTTGTTCTAGAAAGTGCTTGTTCATTCTCGCCCCGAGCGCGCTACGCTCGAACCTTCTCCGCCGAATCTTCGAGATAGTGACTCATTCTAGATAAGAGGCCGCCCGCGACCTTGTCGAGTCAGTCTCGCCCCAGCGCTCGATCCTGCGGTTTCGCCGACTTCGACGCCCGCGACGCTTTGTTATTATCTTTTGTACTATTTTATTTTTGGCACAAGTTCGCCACATTAAACGTTTATTTCTTCCTGTTCATCTATTGTTTTTGGTCACCACCCGTGACATATTGGTGGAGGTGCGGGGTACCGCATGCCCGTGCAGCGTTCCCCACCCAGGGTCCGCAGTGCAAGCCCGATTCCAAGCCCGGTGAGAAGACCACTCAACGCGGAACCTGAAATTCGGACCAGTCGCCGCACCCAAGGTCTACACCCGGAATACGGACTTCTGCCACCCCGGACCAGGCAGCCAACGAGGCCGACGATGGACAACCAGTCGTCGCAGAACCCGTCCGCCGCCGCCGTCGTATACCTTCCCGTCGCACCCCGGACTCCGACGCCATTCCACGGGGAGGTCCACGAGGACGTTGAAGATTGGCTGCAACATTACGAACGAGTTGCTCGCCATAACACATGGACTCCGGAGCAGTGCCTTCAGAACGTCTACTTCGCTCTGGAAGGCACGGCACGCACCTGGTTCGAGAACCACGAAGCGTCGATTTCGTCGTGGGAAGAATTCCAGGCCGAGCTGCGACGCACCTTTGCCAACCAGCACCGACGACAGCGTGCCGAAGAACTACTGCGAGCGAGGACCCAAGGGCCGACCGAAAGCGTCACGAGCTTCGTCGAAGACGTTCTCCACATGATGAATCGGGCCGACCCAAACGCTCCCGAAGAGAAAAAGCTCCGGGTCTTGATGCGCGGCGTCAACGAAAACATTTTCGGAGGCCTTGTTCGGAGCCCGCCTACCACCGTCGAAGGTTTCATCACAGAGGCCACCAACATCGAACGTGCCCTCCAAGCACGCGCCGCCCACTATCACCGAGTTCCCGGCGTCGCTGACTTCTCATCTTCCGGCTACAACCCCACGGACATCCGCGAGATAATCCGGAACGTCGTGCGGGAGGAAATCAGGAAGCTGCTACCTGCTGCCACAAGCCCGGCTACGCCCTCAGTCGCCGAGATTGTCCGGGAAGAACTGCAGCAGGCGCTACAGCCAGAAGTTGTCGCCAGCGCCGCTCCTGAACCACCGAAGCTGAGCTACGCCGCAGCTACCCGACGACCACCCCCTGCTCACCCGTATGCGGCGCCACCTCGACGTGAACCTCCAGCGCCGCAGTATTCCCGACGCCATGAAGATCGGGCGTACGTCCGCCCAGAACAAGCCGCGCCACGAAAGACCGACGTGTGGAGGACGGCCGATCGACGCCCATTGTGTTACCACTGCGGTGAAGCCGGCCACATTTACCGTCAATGCCCCTACCGACAACTGGGGCTGCGCGGGTTCCACCCGAACGACCCGCGCCCAAGGTACGACGAACGTCCTCGTGACATCGAGGAGTATCTCCGACGTTCGCCATCTTCAACGCCGCTCCGTCGTGAGTCCCGCTCACCGTCGCCCAGACGTTCAGCGTCTCCAGCGCCACGACCCCGCCGAGAGAGCCTGTCGCCTTGCGTCGCCGGGAAAACTAAGTGCGGCAACGCCTGGAGGTGGCGTTGCCGAAGACGACCGTAGTAAAGAGCCTCCAAGAACGCCGGAGCGCTCCCACTCTCTCGACGCTACGGATCATAACAACGTCCCTGCATCGGTGTCCAACAACCTAAACGTTATAATCGACGGCCATGACGTATCGGCACTTGTGGACACCGGAGCAGACTACTCATTCTTGAGTGGGAGGCTCTCTCGTCGCCTGCGAAAAGTGACAACGCCGTGGGAAGGCCCTCAAATACGAACCGCCGGTGGGCATCTCATCACACCAGTCGGGCGATGCACTGCTCGCGTCGAGATCCACGGTGAGACGTGCCCTGTGAAGTTCGTCGTTCTGCAGGACTGTTCGAGGGACGTTATCCTCGGATTGGACTTCCTCTGCGAGTATGGCGCCGTCATCGACCTCAGAGCAAACCGGCTAACTCTGCGAAAACCTGTTTCACCACCGGAGGAACCCGAAGCGACGTCATCCGCGGTCCGAGTCCTCGCAAATCACGTGAACTTACCGCCGCGGTCGAGTGTTTTCGTACCTGTCGGGATCACCGAAGCAAGTTCTGCTCGAGGGGAGCCTCCA